CTGGAAAACAGCCGCAGTTATTCTCATTCCAAAGCCAGGAAAAAACAAATCCTTTCCCCAAAACTGGCGCCCAATCAGCCTTCTGCCAACCTTCTCAAAACTTACGGAGAATTTCTTGAAAGAAAGACTCTTAGAAAAACTCTCCCACAGCAACGGAATCCCACACGAACAATTCGGGTTTATGCGAAATCATGACTCCGAAATGCAAGTGGCTAGGCTAGTGGAAGACGCCACGGCTGGACTCCACGCGAAATCCTCTACGGGGGTTATTCTCCTGGATATAGCAAAAGCGTTCGACACAGTCTGGCATGAAGGAATAATCTGGAAATTGGCTAGCCTCTACAAACTGCCAACTAGCTTTTAATAATAATTCTCAACTCAGTAATGTGTAAGGGCTTGTTAGATTATAATGTGTTGCCTAACCACATAAAGCATTGTGAGAATTTTAGTGGTTTTAAAAAGCTGTTAAGAGCACATTTATTGTCTTCGACATTTGAATAATTATTTACAATTTTTTTGGGTGCTTTTTGAAATTTGTTATTTTTGCCATGTTAGATTGTTAAATTGATTGTTTTCATTTATAGCAAATATGCTAAATAAAGACTATTATTATTATTATTATTAAATATTACAGAAGGGCGAATCCGGAATCAGCAGATCATCTAGATCTCAAACATGAAGAAAAGGCAAATTTAAAAAAAATTGTGACACGTATATTTTGGCAATACCGGATTTACCAAAATTGGGCAAATTCGTCTGTAGTAGTAGTCTACTTGTATGTGTCGACAACCGTACCTTCGAATCTAAAACGATTTCAGGAGCAATTGTTTTTTCTATAAAAGTATATCCAATTTTACATTATAGTACATTAACTGGCATGACTTCTGACCCCCTCAGGTAAAAATATAAATAATAAAAGTTCTTACCTTTTCAACGTAATATCGTGTTCCAATATCAATGATGACATTACTTGTGTCTACCAATTTACCTGGAACATACATCTGAACTAGCTATAAGGAAATATTGGCAAAATGTTAACAATCGTCCCTATCTAGGGAGGTTAGTCCTTTCTCGAAAAGTTACTATTTTTTCGCGATAATTTAAAACTAATCTGCAAATCTTTACAATTAGAAGCGCCGCGCCGAAATGTTGTGCATCAACAATCAGCAGTAAAGTATCACATTTTTTATAAAGCTTTGGTAGCAACTACCACGTAATAACTGGAAAAGTACTAGGACTTTAGATTTTGATGTGTCAGGACAAAATGTGAGACCATTAACTTAACTAAACTCGGTTGCGTAAATTTGAAATTATACTTATTAGAGTTAGAAACCCAACATTAACTTATGCTTGTGCAAATTAATAGGAAACGAAGGCAGATAAGAAAAAACTGAAAGGTAAATAAATTCTTAAATTGAATAACAAACTCAAAAATTTGTTCAGTCGAAGTCAGTGGCGCACCACAAAAAAGTTCGGGGGGGGGTAAAAGAGGGTATGCCTCTAGAAAAAAGAACACTCTGTATATGTTCACAACCATGTAGGCTTACCTACGGATATAGGATGTAAACATTAGACTACGTTAAAAATTTGAGCAAAATACCTCACAAACTGTAGAAGTTAAAGAGAAAATACGAATTTCTTTTGAAACTTTAACATCCTGTATCTTGTTAATCTACACTCTACACGCCCCTGATCTATGTCCACAAGGTCACCAATCACTGATCTATGTCCACAATCACCCTGCATAATAATGAATTTAATTTCACCAAAAATATGTCTCTCTTGCCACTCGCCATTGCCTATCACTGAACAACAAAGTTTGGAATAATCGCTGCTCGGCAGAAAGTAAACAGGGAATTTTGCTGCATAAGGTATTATGCACATTGTCTAGTCAATGTGAAGATTAAACATATGTGACACCCACATTGACTAACGCGTACGGCATTTTGCAGATTTCCTGAAATACAGTAGTCAATGTGTAGATAGACCAAAGTAAAAGCGATTTTGCAAAATGCCTGGCGAGTTGGAAATTTTGCACAATGTCGGTACCACATATACATATATAAACCCACCAGAAAAGCTATGGAAATTGTCGGTTTGATGAAATTAAATTGAATTAAATGTATATTTAAATTTTGATCAATTTGAACAATGAGAAAATCATCAAGATAAAGTTGATAAAATTAATGCAATCCATTTAACAGTATAGTTAACCAGGGAAGTGATGCAGGAAACGACAAAAGTTTTAGATAAATGCAAATTAAGTTTCAATCTTGATTCTTTCTACTTTTCATAAGTTGGTCACTTTAACTATAGACTATGCCTGTAATTAAATGTCAATAGCTGATTTAAGTACCTAAATAAATCAAATTTGTTTATGAAGGATACAGATCCTGTAAGAGGGACCAGAATATCTTTGCCTTCCACACTGGCATCCAAATTTTGCAGTGTTTCATTAGAGCTCTGGAATTTTTGCTGTGCCACTTTCAGAGATGTCAGTGAGTCTTGAAAGGCTTCCAATTCCTGAAAGATAGCAGATCTATTAAATTCCAGGTGCAAATTGTAACTTTAGACCAAATAAGGGCACATGAACAGAACTTGCTCGTTGAAAGTGAGGTTAAATGTGAGGAAATATTTACCTGATCTACTCTCTGCTTTAATGTGCCTAACTGTTGAATATTCAGAGTGGCAAGATCAATTTCCTGCATATGAGGTTGCTTCGTACTCGATATTTGGGACATTGTAGTTACTGCACACACTTTATTTGAAAAAAATATGAAAACTATGTATCAAGATAACCTACTATGACAGTTCACTGACTGATAACTGAGGTATTATCTGGTGTTGCCACAACATACATAATAAGTTTGTATTCAGATAGGAATTATGTGAATCACATAATAACTATAGTAAAATGTTTGCACGAGCATAGGGCTTTGTCAGTGGAGCTCGAGGTACTCTGGAACCTTAATAGGTGTTGTTTAGCACAATTATTACTACGTCAGACATTCGACAACGCTGCACACAACATCTGAGTTTCTTTATCACTATGGCGATATATTCTGTAACTTTTGATGTGTCATAGCTATAACCTATAATTACCAATATTATTGTAATTTAGCTGAAAACACCAATTCCTGAAATGTTACTGACAAGGGCTTCTGCAACCCTTAGGGCTGTTGCTACTCTTGCGAAAAACAAAAACCAAGTCACCCGTTTATCCATAAGGAACCATGGAGCGTAAGTTTATCATTACGTAATTTCAGCTTCAAAGTGGGCTAGAAAACCGTCAGATATATTTTCAACAATATTGAATTACTATTTATTATGCACAGTTATTGTTAACATCAAGCTTTCGTTTTCATCAATTCATGTTCATCTCGGCTTGTTAGTCACCGCTTCTCAAAGCGGAATAATTTCTTAACCGAAAGATGAGAACTAACTGCCTTTTCACGTAACCAGTTTTAAATCACTCAGATGAATGTTATAAGAGTGACATATAAACTTAAACATAAAACTAGTTCTTTTAAAAAGGACTTTCAACAATTGCATATTGTACCGCTTTATGGCCTAAACGGCGCGTTTATTAAGGTCTCCATATTGTTTTAAATTTACCATCAAATTTGTATTCGATTTTGATAATGTTTTAACGCCACTTTAACATTTACTATTTTAAGCAAATGCCTTTTTTAAAAATGCATCAGCATGAGAAATGTGGTTTCGTCAATAATAAACGCTACTTTAAAAACTGATGTTCAGAATTACCTTTACGCTCTAACAAGTTCGGCAAACCATTTCATTTTCAGGGTAAAATTGCTTATGGAAATTCGATAGAAATCCGTCGGACCTAAGTATTGTAGTTTTTACGTCCAGATAAAAATTACAAAATATTGTTAGGATAAAAAATTCACCGTATTTGATTTTGGTTGTGCTTACGCATTTTATGTCGCAAATCAAGAAACCGTTGTTTCTGAGAACGATATTAATTTTAATTGTTCTAAAAGCATGGTGGAATAAGTCAGATAAAACTCTTACATTCAAAGTGAGTCAGCGAAGCGACACCCCGTCTTAGATTCCACAGAAATGACGTCTGAAAAAAAAGACGTTCATATATAAAAGTATGGTGATTGTCGCGAAACTATCTATTTCTGTTAGTTTTAAGTATGCACGCTAGTATTTTTTGTATAGCATACTAGTGACTGAATTCAATAGTTTTGGACATAACGATGAACATGAGAAGTTTATTAAGTATTATTGTTTCTTTACTAAAATAAACGAATCCCATTTTTCCTGAAACATAATTCTAATCTTCTAACGTTGTTATGAAAAACTCCTTGCAGCATTTGTGAGGATATTTAGTAGAAAGCGCGTCATGTTCTCCCTTTCATATCTTCGGGATGAGTTGGAGGAACTTCTTAGACTTTTCCTTTGGCGTATTCCGAAACAAAAAATTCACAAGGAGTGAGGTCAGGTGATCTGGCTGGTCAATTAATATGCGCGCCCTTTCCTATCCATCTGTAAGAATATGATCTATGTAAAAAATAACCAACATTAAGGGAACTGTGGGGAGATAATGTCAATAGGTCTCTACTCTTGACCTCTCGACAACGTTGGATACATTTTATTTCGTTCCCATGTTTAAACGCCGATATGACTAAAACTTCGGAATTTAGTCACATAGTATGTTATATATACAAAAAATACTCCGAATTCAATGTAGAACCAGAATCTGGATTAAAAAGTAGGCTTTGGAGTTTTTTCCCAGTCGCTATTTCTGTACGATCTAAGAGGGGGGTGTCGCTTCGCTAGTTCACCCTGTGAATTTAAAGCTGTTTAAAATTATATAGTTTGCTCTTCCATTCTGCCTATTTTTTAATCGAACACTTTAGTTCATGCGGGACTTGGAATGTACGACCATGCCAAAGCTACATACAGGGTGGTTTTTTAGTGCGATAGAGTCTATTATTTGCGATGGTGTTGAACTTAGTTAGTTAGTTTAGTTTTATAGTTTCATATAAAAGTTGTTGACGCACAAAGTGCGCACATTTTAAAAATATCTTATTTGATACGGTGTCTCAGAAAAGCGAGGCAAGATCAAAGTGTATTTTTTTACTCGAACTACCCATTTTTCATTAGCTCATGGAATGCAGCTTCAAACGCTGCATATGCACCGTGAGTTGTTTTTTCTTATTGGCGACGTTGGCACATTATTGCCATTTTAGTAAAATTGTGCTTAAAAACATGGTATCGAAACATTCATTGTAGAAGCAATGAAAAGCAGTTAGAGATACAAAAAATACGTCTTTCCAATCACGACAGATCCGCTAAGAATTCTATTGAACCAAAATGTCAATCAATATTGTACATGGTGTTAACAATGCGGACTTCAATCTAAAACCTTTTAACGCAATATAACTTTTGTTTTTGAAATAGAAGTACTTGTATATTATTATGTCATTAGATAGACAATTTACAAAGTTATACATTTGCATTTACACTTTAAGCTGTGAAATCAACCGTTTTCAAATTATAATTTATTTTATTTAAAAATTTCAAAAAGTTGCTACATTTTGTAAGGTGGCTATTGTGCAGATTGAAGTCCACATTGTTAACACCCTGTACAATATATTGATATTTTGATTCAATAGAATTCTTAACGAATCTGTGGTGATTGGAAAGACGTATTTTTTTGTATCTTTAACTGCTTTTTTTGGTTCTACAATGAATTTTTAGATACCATGTTTTTAATCAAAATTTTACTAAAATGGCGATAATCTGCCAACGTCGCAAGTAAAAAAAAAAAACAATTCACGGCGCATATGCAGCGTTTCAAGCTGCATTCCATGAGCTAATGAAAAATGGGTAGTTCTGTTTAAAAAATACACTTTGATCTTGCCTCGATTTTCTGTATCATATAAGATATAAGACACTCTGTATCATATAAGATATTTTTAAAATGTGTGCACTTTCTGCCTCAACAACTTTTATATGAAGTTGAACTTTTATATAAACAACTTTATATATTTTATCAAAAGTTTAACACCATCGGAAATAATAGGTATAGATGTTTTAAAACTGGTGTGATTTTATTAAAGATTTTAAAGCCAGATTTAAAATGAAGTTTAGTCCTAAAATAGTGGAAGGAACATGATAAATACTACTGAAACCGCTAGTATTAGTGCCATTCTTAATTTGGGACTTTCGATTGTTTAGGTGCAATTATAGATCACCTCCTGTACCACCAGGTAAAAATATAGTTCTGGCCGCAGAAGTCGTTCAAGGATTTATGTGGTGGTGGATTCTGTGGCATTGCTGGACTGAACCGGGACATCTTTTTGTAAGTATACAGTGCTTCTAAATAATTATTAGAATTTAGGAGTTAATGAAAACTTAATTTGATTCATGCAGGGGGAGTTCGATTATCCAGATGTTAGAAAATGGACAGATGAAGAATTGGGTATTCCAAGTGAATTGGAATTGGATGAATAAATAGTCGGATAATGTAGAAAAATGTCATCTGTAGATTATAAAATAAAGAACATGTATATATTAAGCCAACAACATAGTACAAGTAGATGAATGGAAATCTATCTGGGACACATTGCATGCCTGCCCCCATCAACAGGCAAACTCGCTCCAGTGATAAAGCTAGCGGAGTCACTTGCCAAAAAAGCAATTGTTTTCGCAACTTCTTCTGGATTTCCAGGTCTTCCTAAAAGTACACATTTGATAAATTCAAGGTCTTCCAGGCATAAGTGTAGATATCTAAAACGCCTCCCAACGCTTTTCCCGAATGTTGCTTGCTCCATAAAACCATATAACAGAGAACTGTACTTGTAGTCCTTCTAATCTTACAAAAATTATGTTGATAAGTTTTGAACATTTTTTTCTTTTTTATTATAAACTAGATAGATTATACACTGTATTGTTCGGTGTTGACGTCGTTCGTGACGGAAATAGTTACAAATCATGTGAGACACTGGCACTGATCTTTGTTAATAGATCAGGCCACAGAAAAAATAATTTATTAAATTGTACTTATATTGCAACCGAAAACACAATTTACAAACGCCTTGAATAGAAAGAAGACAACGAACAGTACGAGAAGTTATCTAGTTTATTTTGCATGAGGTATCAGTGCGCCATACTAAGTAATTCAATGGTATGTAGAAATTGTTCGAAAAGCGTTGGGCGCTAAAGCATACTGCGGTTGTTAAATCATAAAAATCATACCTAGAGCATGTGTTTCTTGTGATCTTTTGAGGAAAGCTTCATATTGTTCTTGATTCATGCCACCTCGTTTCTGTAATTCCGTCAAAACCACACCTGGATTGACAGCATTTACCCGAACTTGTTTGGGTGCTAATTCTAACGCAGTGCATCTAAAACATATTTTATGCAATTGATTTATTAATGTACAAAGACCATTGGACCAAGGCGGACCTCTTGGGAGAAGTCTGAAGATATTTTATGAACATAAACTGAACTGGCTCTATGAAAAATCCCCACAATTTCCCCAACGGTGGCCAAAATCTCAAATTCTCAGCGTTCATAACGAAGGTTTTTGAAATGATAACTTTTTATGGGACGGTGAACAGATTTTTCTCGGTCACGCCGAGCCGTAACGGCGGCTCCCACTCCGGCCTCTTCGCGCCTGAGGCTTGGGACGCACATACGCTCTTTGAATTCGACATTTTTCCTTAGTCCGGGTGCATCTGTAGATCGGATAATTTTTCAAATACACATTGCGTTATTAAACTGACAGAGATTTATATATATTAATTATTGAGTGTGATATTATTGTGTTCGGTGCAGTTTATTTTATAACGCTGATAACAATAAATCAACAAATTAACAAGGAAGAAGCTGCAGATACTACAAAAACTAGGTAAAGGGTGCTCATGTACTATATGTCTGTCCGAGTTTCGCATTCTTTTTGATTTCCAATAAAGTACACACAATTGAACACACTAAAGCAGTTTAGTAGTATTGCACGATTCAAAGCTCATACCTCGTAAAATATTACTACCTGCTTTAAAATTAAACTTACTTGAGAAGGTTTAATCATAAAGGAATCAAAGGGTATATGAAAAAAAAACTAATCCATTTTCATGCGTGGTAAACACAATTAATCATAGAAATAGTATAGAGAATTGAAAATAAGGCATAATAAATTAGTTTTACATATTTTGCAACTATAAGCTGAAGAGACATTCGTTTCGTCTTAACATCAAGAATGCGTTGCGTGATAGAAAATAAGAACCGGGGTAAACTTAAATATTTCTTCAATTAAATGCAAAACATATTTACTATATATTGTTCCGTGGATGGCCGGGTATGAAACTCTTTCTTCAGCTTCCAACTTTTATTCAACTCGGTATCATTTTAAATACGGAACAGGAACAAACTAACTTCTAAATTAACGTCAACTTTACAAACAATCACAATAACAAACGGAAAACTCGGACTTCCGACTCGCTGGGTTTAACCCATAGAGTAAGTAAAATAAGAGAGGTGGCAATCATATGGGGGTCCTTGTTACCGCGTTACGCAGGTAGCGCTGCAACTGGCTGACCGGCGACTGACGGCACTAAAATTT